CCGACAGAATTTAATTTTTTTAAATAAAAATTAAATTCCGTCGGAAATTTTAAAAGAAAAAATGTTTTTAATTTATTATATATATATATATATTTATATATGTACATGTTTAATTAGCGTTAATCAAAAACAATTTCCGACGGATTTCCGACGGAATTCGATTTGTTTTAATTAAAAATTAAATTACGTCAGAAATTATTTTTGATTAACGCTAATTAATTTATTTAAATAAATTAGACAAATTTTGCGACGGATTTCCGACGGATTTGTGACGGTTTTTGAATAAGTAAAAAATCCGTCACAAATCCGTTGAAAAACCGTTTTAAATAATTTTAATTTTTTTTCCAAAAAAATCAGTGGGGGATCTGTGGCGAGTATGGATAAACGTTGACTTTGTTTGACTTTTTTGGGATCCGTCGGGAATATTTCCGACGGAATTTCAGCCAGAAAAATCCGTCGGTGATGCCGTTTTTTTAGTAGTGTATTATTATTATTTTTTTCTACGAGAACTTGAGGTGTTACACATTAAATAGAACTTGGGGCGTTGTACGATAAATAGAATTGCCGTTCCACCACCGATAACATATGATATATTGCAGTTATATTACACATAAAATATCAGAAGATCTGAATCAATTAGAAAGAATCAGTCAACCAAGAAGTACTCGAACCTAATCTTTAATGGAATCGTGAGGTGTTTTTACATTTTTTTAACTTACTGGATTAATTGAGTTTATGTTGTTGCACATTACGGTTTCACATTTACAGTTTCCGCTTAATTAATATCATGTCATCAGAAATTTATTCGAACCGTTTGATGGATGGGAGACGCGATCCAAATTAAGATAGATTTTCGGCAAAGCTTTGGCTAGAAGTTCAGAAAGTAGAGGACAACACAACTAAAATTAGAAAGATTTTGTTGGAATCAGATGCAAAGGAAGGGGAAGACAATACTTTTAGAGATGGTCTCAAGAGAGTTAACAAAAGAAAACAAGTAAACAAGTTATGAAAAGGTCGAGTAAACCATGCATGAAAGAGACGTCCAGAGAGATTAGGTGGGATGCAAAACTGCATTTGGTAAAGGTCAATTTATGGTTTCGAATTAAGAAAAAACCAAAGGGGTAAGAGGAAAGTCCAAAAAAAATAGGCAGAAGAAATTTAGAGATTTGGTGGAAGGAGACGGGCAAGCAAATCGTGATGTTCTACGTATTGGGAAAAAAGGAGAAACAAATAGAGAAAAGAAGATCCACAAATCCAAAACTAACCTGATCAGACTTTGTTAAGAGGTATGTTGGATTCTACAAAGGAGAACTAGAGATTTTAAAATGAGAAATAACGTTGTCACAATATGTGGACCCTTATTAAATTACTTTCAAAACGAGCCATCAAGAAAAGAAAAGAGGTTCCAATATATATACACGATGTGAAACTCGAAAACATCCCCTCCAATGAAGGCTAGATGGAAAAAGATTGCTCCAAAATGTCGAGAGGGGCTAGACGGATAAGGGGGTTGGGCAAGTGTAGATTTTTGGCTTTTATATTATGTAAGAATATGTGGAGTTTCATTAAATTACTCTCTAAAAGAGCCTTAAAGGAAAGAAATGATATATCATCATATATAGAAGAGAAATGGTATATGTGAGACTCCAATACGTCCCTTCAAATGGAGTCTAGACGGGAACAAATTGTCTCAAAGTGTCGAGAGGGGGCTAGACGGATGATGAGGCTACGCGTGTAAAGATTGTCCATGGAGTCATAAAGTATTTCTCTGACATCATGTAGGAATATATGGAACCCCATTAAATTACTCCTATATAACGAAGAAATGGTGCAAGTCTATGACAAAGGACTTCAACAAAGTCCATGGTCAAAGAGGATTGAGGTCCCCCTCCCATCCCCGCCCCATTCCCATACCTTATAAACTCCCGTAGTTAAGGCTCAATAAGACACACGACACAATATTACTACTAGAAAGCATGATTTCATCGATGGATATTACCCAACGGTCATAATCCGTTGGTAATTTCCAACGGCTCATCATGACAGATTACATTTTAAGGTAACAATATAATTAAATAAGAGCCACTATGACACAATTAGAACCGATATGACCAATTAGTGTCCAATAAGGCTCTATGGCGGTGTGTAGTTAGTAAATCATGGGCAACCGACTTTTACACAAATTTGCGCCCGAGTTGTTTGCTGAAAATCCTTCGGAAACAAGCTTCCCGAAAAACCATTGGTCTTTTTCCTATATTCCATGAAATCATGATTTATTTGTAAAGTGTAATCACGTTGGTTTACTGAAGCATTTCTGACAGTCCTGTTGTTGATAATATTTGATTATCCCGTCAGATATTTTCATCGGTGATATTTCCGACCAAAATTATTTCAACAACTTTTCTGTCGGCAGATGGTGTTTCCATTGAACGAACCATCTATGGAGATAGCGTCGGTGATGCCTCTGTTTGTTATAGCGTTAGTTGTAGTTACGAAACCATTTGCTAGTGTCTTTAACGTAAGAGGCTCTTCTATGTAGCAACGCATCTCCTGTGTGCAGCAATAAGAAAAAAAGGATGACTGAAAGCATGAAATTTAGTTAGAAACATGGTACGTGCGGATTCAATGTATTACGTGCAAGTATGGTTAGCAATAGGTAAGTAAAGACGTTACCTTTTATTTTTCTATCCAATAGATAAAGGTACGTGTAACAAAAATTATATTCCTTTATCCACTTATTCATTACCCATTCATCAGACGTAACTTATTAATCATTAGCTAGATTTTTAGCTAAATTATCAATTAAAAAGTAGTTTGACAAATATAGCCCAAGTGTAAACTAGTTCTTCATTAGTGTGATATATACGATGGATTTAAAATTTATTGTAAATTGATAATATCTATACTATAATATAAAATATTTGACAAAAACTCTTACAAACTATTTTTTATGCATGAAGTACTATACATTGATGATATTACTTAAAATTTCAGATTACAAGTAAATTATGCACAACTACAACTTATTAAAGCTCCATGTTTGAATTCGTGTAACTAACTGCGGATAAACATAACCAAATAGAGGATAAACATCTCATTTTAAAATATAAAAAATCTAAAATATAATTAGGATAATTATCGAGTTCTAACAAAATAATTAATTATTATCTTTATAAAAAATTATATTATTAAACCAAATATAAATTACTTCGTTATTGAACCTAAATTAAATTATAATAAAAAATTGAATTAAAAATTACATAAAAAGTAAGGAATTTTAAATAGTTAATTTGATACTAATATCGATATATTTTTGTCAAATTTTTATGATATATTCAAATTTATATTTTATTAAAAATAAAAACATCATCGTTTTTTCAAAATCATATAAGACCATATTATAACATCGACTAAGATAAAGAATAAAATGAAATATTAAAATGAAGATGTATATCGCTAAATTGCGCGAATAATTTTTTAGTAAAATTAAATAAGTAATGCAAGTTCTTGTTATGAAAGAAAATCTAAAATTTATTTAAAAAAACATAAATTTTAAGCATCCATTATTATTTAAATCGTTAAAAAAGTATATTTGAATCATTAAAAAAGTATATTTGAAGATAAAAGTGCTATGTATCATTCAGTTAATATATATATAATGCAAATGAAATGCAAACATTTTTCAAAAGTCGTAACCAACGTAACCTAATGAGAAAGATAAGAATAGATTTTCACTATTTGATCAATTAAAGATTAACACGTGTGGGATGCACCAACACGTATCAAATCAATTCACGTATCAAAAGTAATTCATGATGTGGGGTTGAGATTAAAAGAGATGAAGTGTTCAGATCTCATCTTATACTTCTTACTTTAACTCCTATTTTTAAACGATCCTTCGTCTCTCTCTCTCTCTCTCTCTCTATATATATATATATATATAGGATTAATCATTTTTGAACTGCAAAATTTATGAAATCGGTTAAGACTTTGTTTTCCATGTAAAGGATTTAATATATTCATTAACATATATTTGTTTTACAATATGTTTGTTTCATATGTATTCGGTTCACAATTTAAAAAAATTACATATATTTTTTCATTTCACAAACATGCCAAGAAGGCATACATTGTGAACTGAGTATATGTGAAACAAACACATCATGGAACAAATATATGGTAGTCGATATTCTAATTTCTAGTTTTGGATGAATAAAGATCATATGAATAGCACATTATACATTATTTCTCAAAGTTATTACAATTTCACGAGTTCTTAAGAGATAATAATGGATGGTTAAGATATAGATATATTGTGGATGGTTAAGATATAGATGTATTGCTTGTAACAATTAGAGAGGTTGCATAATAAACTACCCCTATCTCTCTCTCTCTCTCTCTCTCTCTCTCTCTATATATATATATATATATATATAATAGCAAATGTTAATTGGGCAAAGTGCGTAAAAATATAACGAACTTTTCCTCATTTCTTTTTAGTGTAACAAATAATATTTTTCTCTAAATCAATGTAATAAAGTTTCAAAATTTCTATTTAATATAACAGTCAAATTTTCTCATTTTTAACCTAGTTTGAAATGTACTGATATTGTAACATTTGACGATGAGAATGTTAAAATTATCATCAACTTCAATGAGCTCTTTCATACACATGTCGTAAACAGGCATGTACGTCATCAAGTGTTACAAAATCATCACGTAACCGGTTAAAATTGATATAACATATGCAACTTTGCTGCATCAATTATGAGAAATAATTATTCGTTATAATAAATAGGAACTAAACCAAATTTTTATACAGAGTTTATCTTTTTCTTATCTGATATATTGGTAAATACCACACCCATACAGTGATGCACATTCACGGCCATCCCTATAAATACATGGTACCCTCCAGAATATTTCTCACACCAAAACCAAATGCACAAGTTCTTCTACAAATTTATTAGTTTTTAGAGTTATTGAGGCACACTAGAACAATGGCAAGTATGATGATGAAGTTCTTATGTGTTGCGGTGGCGTGCATGGTGGTGTTGGCGCCATATTCGGAAGCTATTACTTGTGATGATGTGGTGGAAAAGTTGAAGCCATGCCTAGAGTACCTGAAGGGCGGGGGTGCGGTGCCAGCGCCATGTTGCGCTGGTGTTAAGGGACTAAACGCTGCCGCAAAAACAACCCCTGACCGCCAAACGGCCTGCGGTTGCATGAAGACTACTTATAAATCACACCCTGAGATCAAAGTTGACAACGCTCGTGTCCTTCCGGGCAAGTGTGGTGTTAAGATTCCTTACAAGATCAGCCCTAAGACCGACTGCTCCAAGTAAGTCGAATGAAAATAGAAATTAATGTTTAATTAGTTAAAAAGCAATGAATGGTAGTATAATTTATATGTTGGTTGGTTTTTGCAGGGTGAAGTGAGGGGATGCATGCATGGAAGATTTAAGAAGATAAAATAAGAACAAGTATTAAAATAAAAATGTAAAAGGCAGTTTTTCCCTTAGAAGGGACATAAATCTGCATCTCGTTTTGCAATGTCTTGAATTTAGCTTTATAAGATGTTCTTGTTATATTTTCCCATTATATGATACATTCTTCCTTTGTCTCTGTCTTATATCTCTCCCTTAAATGGGTTACAACCACTACTCTTTTATAATATATATATATATATAGGTGGAGGTTCAAACGAGAACACCTTCATTTTACGAGAACGTAAAAACACCCTTATCACATGTGATAATATGCTTGAGGAGACCTGGTGGTATGCGGAAAACGTGTTATACGACTTAGGCTGCGCCAAATGTTGTCTGGGTTTATGATTTAGCATCACATGTGATGGTCTTGATGGATTATATTATCATATCAACAGCACCCTTATCACATGTAAAAATACATGTGAGGGGGCTTAATGGTGTAAGGGCGACTTGGCCCGCAACCAAGATCGCGCCGAAAATCATCCGCGTCTCTGATTTAGTATCACATGTGTATCATATGTAATGAAATAATAGTATCATATGTGATTGTCTATAGTAAAGGGTGTTCTCGCATTCGAATTCTCGTACTTGATGTGGGTATCATAATGGTTATATTTGATATAAAACTCATATCAGATTTGGTCTCAATCCATATTCAAGACAGTAGTAAAGTTATATCACAATGGGTATCACATTAGTATCACAATGAATTTGTGTATTAAAGTTCTTGGGTATCACAATGTGTATCACAGCAAGTTCAGTGGTATCATAGTGGGTATCGCATTGTGTTTATGTCTTATTGTTAAAAGTTCTTAGGTATCACAATGTATATAACACTAAAAAAGGTCGTTTGTATATATCTTTTCTTTAATAGTGTCGATGTTTTTAGGTATCACATTGTGTATCTTGGTGTTCGCCATAATAAGTTCACTAGAGGTCGGAAGTTTCTGATCAGAGGTCGGAAGAGGGGAGAAGAGGAGAGTTTTAAAATAACCAAAATGCCCTTAAATTAAAATTTTAATTCAAAATTACTATAATTATCAATTTCTTAATTTATTCATTGATTTGTGCTTGAAATTGATCTTACGGTTATCACAAACTAACCAGCTCTTCCTTGAATGACCCCCCTATATACATAGTTAAGATCATATGAGATTACGTAAAAATGACCGGTGAAACTACCTCAGAGCCACTAGAATTTGGAAGGCCGTATACTTATGACATCAAAAATATAAGAAAAACCATATATCATGTCACAAAAACCCCGCATTAGACCATGACATGCCACAAGGTTAATGCGACGTTAAACACAAGACTTGATACACGACGGCTGCTCTTTCAATTCTTTTAGAAAATTGGTCACATCTAATGTATATTTACAAATGAATATATATACTCAGGGGCGGATGGCTTAAGGGGCATAGGGGGGCCATGGCCCCTCTGCCTTTGCTTTTCCTTGCTAAAATAGGTTAAAAATGTAATGATATAATAATTGAAATTTTACTTCCCCCCCCCCCCTCCCCACATAATCATCATTAAAGACAATATACATCAAGTCTAGCAAATGCTTTATTTAAATAATAACTTGATMTYTTCATTGTTTGTGAAGCWAAATATTGTTTATTTTTCATTTTGATTAGGCTAAATATTGTTGGTTTCTATAGTTAGAGCTAAATATTTTATTGTGAAACAATTGTTAAGGAGATTTAGAGTTTTAAAATGATAATTTTATACTTTAATAAATACCTTAAATATTATGATTACAAAATATATTGAAATGAAGTTTTGATGATATCACAATCAAACAAAGTCTTCATAATTGTAATATTAATAAAATATTAATAACAACCGTGATAAAAAGTAATTCATTGATTAAATAAACATTTGTTACTGCATGGCTTAGATGAAAATACAAGAGAGATATAATCGGACTCCATGACATGATACGATAAAACAATGTAATCAGTTTTGATAAATGGATGATCTTTTGTATAATGTCTATAAGGGCGGAACCTTATGGGGGCCTTTGTGAGTCATGGCCTTCCCGCTTTTAGACTCGAATACTATAATTGAGCTTTTAAGGACATATATGATAAACAACTCAATTGGTAATCATTTGTGGCCACTATCCTAGAGGTCAATGTTTCAAAACCCCTCCCTTGCATTTCCCCCATTCACTTCATATTAAATTATTAATATTTAATTATATGTATTAGTTTTTATATAATATATAATCATATGTAAACATAAGTTTTTAGAGTATTTTACACTGGTATTACTATTTTTCGGTTAATACTTTGAATGTTTAAGTTTTTGGAGTAAATTATACAATAGATTAATTATATATAAATAATGTTTAAGTTGGTAATATTACTAATTTTCGGTTAATACTTTGAATGTTTCGAGTTTTAATCTTACATTAATCAATTTTTTTTCTAAAATTTAATAGTCTAAAAATGAATCATTTGGATTTATAAATTTTTACAATATTATAGTATCTCCAACATATTCTCCAAAAAACTTTCAAAATGGAGAATTAAAACTCTAATAAAATATTATTTCTCTCTCATAAACCATTAATATCAATGATTCATATCGGTGTGAATATGATAAAAAAATGTTTCTCTCTCATTATAATCATTTTTGGTTTATACTCTCTTATGTTTTCTCCATTTTGGAGAGGCTGTTGGAGCAAAATATGCCTAAAATCTTAATTTTCTCTATTTTGAAAAATCTATTGAAAATGCTCTTAATTTGACCTCTCGAACTACCACAGTCATGTTCTGCCTCTGTATATACTGATTGTTATTCTTGTCTAAGATAATACTAATTACCAATAATCACGTGTAATACATGTATTGCATATGGAATGTTATCAACTATGCACATAGCAATTCAAAGTGATACGTAGAAGTTGAATCACTTGAATATTAAACTTTGATAACTAAATTTGCTTTTGAAATATAAAAAAATAGAATAAATTACTTTAAATATAGGCCCTTTTTAAAGTTTGTCATACCATAAAAACGACATTTAACACAAAGACGGTTTATATGTCCGTCAATTTTGCTTAAAATATGCATCATTTTGTCGCAATCCAAAGGGTGTGATATGCAAAATTTGATATTACACGATTTCATTTGTACACATATTTTAATTAATTAAAATTGTTTTTTTTTTGCTATATCTACTCTCTCTAAATATTTAATATTTTTATTTTGTAATTCACACAATTTATTTGATTATTAAATGAAATAATCAATAAAAAGAAACTAACTAACTAAATGATATGCCAATTTTTATTACTAAAATTTAATTATATGAAAATCAGTTGTGTCGGTGACAGTTACATGATTTTATATTTTTAATAATCAAATTTTTCAGTAACTTCTTTCATGTTTTACAAATTCGAGTATTTTGACTAAAATAATTAGAAAATCTAAATTATTTTGTGAAACACTTCATAACTACAGTATAATAAATCTTACCCCAGTGTAAGATCCCTTAAAGGACAAACTAGAAAAGTCGATCTTACTTGGTTTCTAGATATAATGTTATCTGTTTGATGAATAAAACTGTCTAAAATTTTATTAATAATTTGCCCAGATTATTTTAGGCGGTTTTGACAGTCCACTTTGATTTGGGAGAACTGGACAAACTAGTTCAGATTGTTTTTTAACTGTTTTGGTGGTATGATTTGATTTTGGGAAAAAACCAAACCATGCGATCTAGTCTAGCTAGTATGCAATTTGCGGTATTGGTTTTGCCTATATTTCATCCCTGTAGTTATATGGAAATTATAGATTGAGCTATCCATACGAAATAATTATAGCTATGATCATTGTGGTTTCACTTTTACTGATTGAGTCCCTTGACCTACTATAGAAAAACTCCGTCAAAGTAAGACTAGTTTGGTCTTTTCACCAATTTATTAGATAGAATGTTTAAAACCCCAATTAGAGGGTGTTCCCCTTCTCTGGCTGACACTATTTCCAGCTTCATATCCTTTCTCGAGCAACACCGTCTCCAACCCCTCGAACATATAAAGATCTATAATCTTCAATGAACTCTGATAGATCCATCAAAATCAAAATCAAAATCAAACTCAACCCATCAAAATCAACTATAAAAAATACATAAATTTGTTTAAAAAATAAATTGGTAACCTAAATCTAAATTAAAAATGTAATTCCAAATAAGAAAATGAAAAATGGAAGGTTTCTTCATGCATGTTTTATTTCCCCATCACTCCCGGTGAGTTCACATGCAAACCCAGGTCAAGGTTTTTGATTACATTAATCCCAACACTTCTCTAGGTTCTTAGACCTACCTGTTAAGAAAAACATAAACGAACCGGTGTCTTCCTCTTTGAAAATTGTGATACAAAACTAGGATATGAAAAACAGAAAATTTTGGGGTTTTTGGCACGGTCGCACTTTATATTCAAGCATGGATATGCATAATGTTACTTTGCAAAACAGAAAGTTTTGGGTGTTGTGACACCGCCAAACATTATGATCAAGCACGACCACACCTTATAATTAAGACGGGTCATGCAAAGATAATTATGATTTTTCTAAATTTTAGCATTGGGATCAAATGGAGATTCCACCTATGGAATAGTATAAATATCCCATTGACTTCAATCATGGTATAGAACAAAATTGAGAGCTTAGAATCCCTAGTTTGAGTAGAGAAAATATTGAGAGAGATTATACACAATTTAGTGTTCGGTTTGTAATTTTATCTTTGGTGTTTGGGTGTTCATAAATAAAAGCTTCACCTCTTCCTTCTGGATATACATCACCATATCGGTGGTGCACCACTTAAATCTTGCATTTTGTATGTTTTTAAAGTTCTTTGGTTGATTTCATTGTGTTTTTTTATCCTATTTTATTTTCTGCATTAGTTGTTGGTTGACATCATATATTTTATTTTCATCGAATA